AAAAACAAAAACCCACATGCAGTCTGAGAAATGGGCTTCCCAGAAGCCACACTCGCTCTGGCACCACCGTGAGCCGCTTGAAGCACAAGAGCATAAATGGAAACCGAGCTGACACTGGAACCTGTGTGTGCTCCTGGGGAAACGGGAAAAGTAATTCCTTGAGGCTCGTGGATCCCTGCAAAGGCAGCAGTGTCCCACCTATAAAGGGTTGCCCAACGGAACACGTGCAAACAAAGTGTAAAACTCGAAACTGAGTAAGCCCATCTAATGCTCACTTCACATACTTTGTCCTAACCACCAAGCACAGCAAAGTCTGACCTGCGCCAGAGCACCTGAGAGACCTGAGTGACAGCACGTCCATGCCTGAGCCAGCTCCCTTCCCATCAGCTCAAAAATATCTGAGCCGCTCAAAAGTCTCCCAGAGTAATGAGATCATTATCCATCTTATTTGCATATTTTCAGCCCAAATGCCATTACCTTTTAAATTAAGGAAAAGGCCTCCAACCTAACAGATAAGCCCTAGGCAACTGCCCCCCCCATCTGTCTGGCTGTGGCTGGAGCCACTTCTGGTCTTCACACACTAAGAGAGCCATGGGGTGTCTCCATTCGCACACAGGATCTGCATGGACTGGGGTTCCTGGAGCCGCGAAGGGGCTTGATCGGCACAGAGCAGCAGCCTCTGCATGCCTGGTGCTGTACTAAAGTGACAGGGACACGGGCCTACTTGGAACATGGCACCCTCCTGGAGAAACAGTCTCACAATGTGATAGCATCACTTCGCAGACAAGGAGAGCGACCAGGCCAGAATGGAAAGTATGAGATAAAGTCAGGCACAGTCATGTGAGAAGTCACACAGATACTGCAGTGCCTGAATCCTGGGGGGGGCATCCAGGCAAGGTGAACCTCATTGGCTCCCCTCACCCCTGAACCTGGCCCCAACACCTCCAGTCTCCAAAGAGCCAAAGAACTAACACCTTGGCCGCAAACTTCTTCCCACCTTTTTCATTTCACTAATTCAACAAACACAAAACCATCATTAGCACTGCACAAGTTCTTCCTGTTTGCAAAGTATGTGGAATTACGGAGCATTTTGCCCAATCTGCCCTTAAGCTCCTTAAAGTAGTCTCACATGCTACAATTAGGGCTAAACCCCGAGTTAGGGGCTACAGATGTGACCGACACCTAATCTGGACTGGAAGCTAGAGGAGGGTGGAGGGTGGAGAGAAGTCCCAGACATCACCGACCTGCCGGAAGCGAAATGAGCGGGGAAACTCCCAAGCTGCCTCACATTCTAGCCAATCTCTCCAGGCCCGCCAGGACGGTGTTAATTCGGAGGTCAGAAAGACCTGCGTTGTAAGGTCACCAGGCCCATTGCTAGGAAAGAGCAGAACTTCCCACCATCCAATGGAGCTGAGAAGAAACCGATGTGGAAATCAGGCGTTTGCTCGCTGTTAGCGCTGCTGGGTCCCCTGCTCTCCCGTGGCCAGGGCGACCGCAGCCCGCTCCGCTGCACTGGGTCTCGCTCCATACCCAGGCCCTGGCCCCGACCCGCTGCCGCAATTCCAACCTCCAGCTGGGAAACTGCGTTTGATGTCACCCAGAAAATGACCACGCGGTCGCGCACAAAATCGTGGCGTTCCAGGGCAATCAGATTCGATGTGGCAATCGCGGGCGCGTCTTACGCGGGTCTGCGTTCCCGGGACGGCAGGACCCTGCTCCCCGCCAGGCGAGGCCCTCGGGCCGTGACAGCTGAGGACCGGGAGCCGAGCTTCAGCTTCCAGCTCGTCGGGGCCGCCGTGCCGGAGAAACCAGGCGCAGGTACTGAACCGGGACGGGCGTGAGGGCGGTTCCGAGGGCAGTTCCGAAGGCAGGGCGGTGTGCGCGCCCGGGTGGGAGTGGAACCAGGCCCTCCCTCGGGCGCTGGGCGGGGGCTCGCCGCGGTCCTCTGCAGCCCCGCCCAGGCCTGGCCTCGGGTACTGCCAACTGCGCACCTTCCCCGCACTCCGCAGCCCCAACCGAGCCCGCACCCTGCGCCCTCCTAGTCCCGGGACGCGAGGCGCCCGCACCGAGCGGCCAAGCGCCCCCCGGTCTCCGGGATCCGGGGTCGACGCGCTCGGAGGCCTCACGCGGAGGCCGGCCCACGCGGGCTCAGAACCGGCGCCGGAGAGGGCCTCGGCCTCTCACCTTGCAGTCGTTGCGGACAAACATCATGCCGTGGCCAGGGTAGATAGGCCCGGAGCAGAAGTAGCACTTCTCGATGCGCATGTCGGAATCGCAAGAGCAGCAAGCCCGCAGGGAGAGGCGGCGAGGGCGAGCCGCCGGAAGTGATCCTACGCAACCGGAAGTGACGTACCGAGGGCGGCAGTGAGGCGCGTTCGAGCCGGGGGCGGTGTCCGGGCACGGCAGGTGCGGCCGACTGTCTCCGCCCCAGGCTCCGCCCCCAGGCTCC